AATGTCGGGTGGTCACGTTGTCACGGTCATGGCCATGGTCACGTGACGCATCCTTTTAGGAAAGAAACTAACCAACAACTTTCGAAGGCGATGAACGTGGTAAGTACTGTCTTGTCAGTTTGTTCGATTTTTTAGACGTTTAACAACTCATGCATCAGTTTTGATACATTTGGAAATGTCTTCGGCGTAATCTGTCGATACAAAGAGCCATTATTCGCGTTGTCGCACGTTGTAGTCGTCTATATAATTCGGGTGGAAGGTAAACAGTGGCATTAAGCGGATCGAAAGAAAAGACCTTGAGAATCTAAGTTATCTTGATGTTACCTGCGTAATTAATTGCAAACACTCTTAAATCTAGCACTTAAAAAAAGCATCCAGAAGAACGTTACTTCTCTGAATAAATCTTGGGATCTGACTAATGTCGAGAGAACTCATAGGCGGAAGTAGCTTACCCGGATTTTCTGATAAAAATTTTCTCGAGAAATATGTAACTAAGTTGTATGCGTTGTTTCACTAATTCTCGGAGAGCTCCATGCATAAATATGCCGAACAAGATATAACCTATGCTCAATTTTCTCCTCGTTTGAGTGTTTTTAATTGCTACAGGTTCCCTTTCGATAACAACTCATTATTAGTTTCTGACCCATGACAGACCCTCGCACTGGCTCATTTAAGTCAGGCGGTGTGCCACTCCGATTGCGTTGCATTGTGGTAGCGTTATTTTCAATATGGCGGCGAAAGAGGCCGAAATCGGAAGATTTTGACTGAACATTCCGTTAAAGTTGGGTCGTTCCTTTTTTTCTTTCACCATAGGTACATTAAATTTGATTGATTTTGAATGTGAAGAAGTATTTTTTGCGTATTTAATGGACAATTCTCAAGGACAAACGCAATCACTGTTTTTTAGTATGTAATTTGAGACCAGTTTTCGAGAAGGTCAAATTTGATGTAAGTCGTAGTTTGAAGCCTTTCAAGGATTTGAATGGCCGCTTTGATCCTTCTTTAACAGCTCTGACTAAAAGCTCTTCAACGGTAGGCGTGTTTTGTGCATTTAAGTGTAATCATGGTTTGAGACCGATTATAGCAGCAAAAGGCCTATTATTGTGTTTAGTGTATTGCGTTACACAGCGTTACTATTGTAAGGACATTTCTTTCATATACTCAATCGTGTTGTAAATCTACTGTCCTAAGTTGAAGTAAATTAACTAATTGCGAGTACTGTATGGTAAATCTACTTGTGGCAAATTGCACTACATAGCATTACCCGAAAAGAACTAAAAAGCGATTTGTCCCTTATGGACGAAAAGATGCATTAAGTTGTAAGGGTTATTTTATTGCTACTCTTTAAGTAGGCGAGAATATGATAACAGCCAAAGGATATGTTATAGAGGGTCATTCAGATTCCCTTCAAGGGAGAGACTCAAGTTTCGATTTGGAGATAATCAAACAAGTGAATGTTATCGGAAACAAACCAAGCCCCCCCTAAAACCAACGGAAATAGTAAATTAGATTCTTTACTTTGCGAATTTGACGAAATTTTTCATGGGATAGGGAAAGTAACTAACTTCGAACATAATATTGCCATTGATCCCAGCGTTTAACCAGTTAGTCAGCATCTAAGACGTATATCCTTTAGCCATATTGAAACTGTCAACAACAAGCTTGACAGAGTGCTTGAAGATGATGTCATCGACGAGGTCAGGGAGGCTAGTCCGTGGGCGTCAAATCTAGAGATAGTTCCCAAGAAATGAATTAAGGGTATGTTGTGACCTCAGAGAAGTCAATAAGGCCGTAATTAGGGAACTTGCAAGCAAGGCACGGTTCAAAGTATTTCGCAAAAATCGATGCTAAGAGTGCTTTCTTTCAGCTTCCCTTAGCTGAAGAATCTAGGAACGTTACTTCATTCGTAACACCTAGAGGTTTCTTTAGATCTTGGTGATGCAAGCGAAGCTTTCCAAAAGATGATGGAAGAAATTTTGTTTGGAATACGTATTTCGTATTTCGAATAAGAAATACGAAACACTTGAAGCGCGCACTCATAAACGAAGAACTCATCGACATCAGAGACGAAGAAAATAATGGAAGTGTTAGTGTTAGCTCTGAGTCGCCAAATGCTAATTCTAGTGAGACAAGTCACAGCAGTTCTGATGCTTGTATGGAAAATAATCATCCCGACATTCAAGCCACTCAGAATGAAACGAGTGGAACAACTGGGTCCAGACGCACAGTTAAGTCCACAAGGAAACGTGAAAACTTTATATACTATTAAATGATTGTCAATGTTTAGAAATTATTAATTATGGTTTGAACTTTGCCCGGGAAGGATGTAGCGTAAAGTGTTTCATAGCGTTACCAATGTAAGGAAGCTTCCCATCACTCAATCGTGTCTTAAATCTACTTTACTTAGAAGAAGTACAATAACTGATTACGAGTATTGTATAGTAGATATACTATCTTTATTAACCAATAAAGAACAATTGAATCAGAGAAATAAGAGCAATAACTTGAGGATATCTTTTGATGATTTTCCTTTGCGATGTGATAATAAGGGTTAGTTTTAAGGTGTGATTCTCCCATCGGTATGTTCTTGAGGTTTGGCAAAGCTGGATGAAATTGTGTTATAAAAGGCAATATTAATTTTCTTCTGTTGCATTTAAGTGTACTTTATCTCCCGCAGAAAATGACTCCAGAGATACGTTTCTCAAAACCTTCATCTGGGTATCCTCTATTCGTTAAGCGTATTTTGAAACTCTGCACGTTTTTTATTGAACGTGGAGCGCGACGAATTCGTTCTTAGCAGGCGCACGGCTTCTTCTTTTACGAATCCCGTATTTAAACTAGGTATGTGACACGAAAAAGGTTCGTGTATTAGAAGGTCTCCGTCTCTTTGTAATGCGTTTATTACACAACTCGCGTCTGGGGAATGTATTTCCTGAATTTGTTATTATTCACACAGGCATTGTCTGTGAATGTAACTGTTGCCATTTGTGTAGATTGTTAGGCAAGACTGCAGTCTCGGTTCTTCCTGAATCTCTTCAGTTGCTTCCTAAGAACGAATTCGTCACAGAGGAATCACAGGAGTCGCGCAGACCCGTAAACACTTTCTTTTGAAGGAACGGCAACAGACAGTGAATCCTCCGTGAATCCGCGACAGGACGCAAATGACTCACTTTTTGTGTTACTACCATGATGCAACGCAATCAGAGTGCGCACACCGCCTGAGGGCGAGTTAGCACTACAAGTTCGCGATCGGTTGTTCGAGTAGCCTACAAAACTGACGTTATTTATTTATTTATTTTTTTTTATGCGTTTTCAGGCGAACGGAGGCAAAAATATTGAATTTTTTTCACACTCCTCCCCTCGCACGTGACTCGTACTTCGCGCTCGCCTCGCTCTCGCCTGAAACGTCAGAGAGTCAGGTTCGGCGGGCTACTTTTCGAGTGGCCATGTTTGATTTAGAGTTAGAATGGACTCAATAGGGAGGAGGCAAGGGAAGGCGGGAGGACGTAAACGATGCGCTTCATTGCATTTCCGGTAATGAGCGGATGTCCAATCAAAATAAGTTTAGTTGAAAACCGGAAGTACTGACCGATAAACAGATGTGGCAGATGTGAGCCCGTGAAAAAAATAGTGAGATAGTTTTTTTCAGAAAGGAAAGGAATGGTTTCGCGACCTTTCGAAAAAACTACCTCTGTGGACGCGAACATGAAGTGATATTTCCCGCACTGTATACCTTCCGTGCGACAATCTCTGAGTGTAGCTGTCATCAATCGCATCAACGATGCCTCTTCCATTTGATCGTAAAGACCGTAAACGCTACTTAGAAGCGGACAGACGACAAGTACGCTCCAGCGTTTACCGATCGTAATTTGTTTGATGCGAACCAGCATCTGAAATATCAAGCTTTATGCAAAGATAGTTTGTAAAACTACCAACAGATATGTAAGACAGTTATGGGAAAAATTACGGTGTGAAACCTCGATTCAAGCCAAGTCTACCAACACAAACAGCCTGCTGATAGTGCACCAAAAACACTTTATTTCTGAGACTGAAAAAAAAAAACTCCACAAAAACCCGAAAGCTACGAGACGACGATTCTTTCTTGTCTAGTTATTTCAGTTTTCTCTAAACAACAATGGATGTGTAGATAGGTATGTGATTGACGTATCGGCCCATCAGTGTCATCTACTGAACAAGTTTTGGTTAAAACCCATTACTATTGCAATCACCGCCAATATTTGGAAATTGCGAAACTTTTGTCAATTTCTTTCTCGGGCAAAATTGGTAAATATTTGACTTTGTTCTAGTGCGACGCGACCCCACAGGACGCATTTTAGAAACCAAACAATTAATAGTAACAGTACCGCCGAACTTCGAAAGCTTCGAGTTAGAATCTTTGAATCAATCTAAAGGGTTTTCGTATTTCTGTTGTGTCTTTTTTGTACCATGATTACAATTTTTCAGCCTCAAGTACCTTCACAGCCTCAAACGTTTAGGTTTAAAAATTCAGTTGTAGAAGCGACGCGGCGATTTCTGAAATGTAAAATGTGTGATCTCACCGAATTAAGCTCAAATCTTTTTCCCCAAATATGTTATACTGTCAACCTTGCACACTATAAATGTTTTGCATTCCCCAAATTCAGATTGCAGTCATATAATTTATCAGTTCAATATCACCCAAGTTCATAATTTTCATTGAAACAGACTACCCCAGTGGTTCGCGCGCTGGACCGCACATCTAAATTTGTTACTTCCGGCCGGCTTGACGGGATCCCTGGGTGTGTTTTTGGGTACATGGTTAATGTTGTCTTCAAATAGGCCTTTACATGGTTACAATGGGCCGTTAGGGGAACGTAGTGAAATTATATTGGACTAACACCTCATTATGAGAGAGAAGCTGTAGTCTTTTTAAAAAATCCTTTTCTTTTATGGGATCACGTAGAGGACAAAAGAAATAAAAATTTGAAAAAATGTATTTAAAAAAATTACAGGTTTAATTCATGGCCAGTGCTGCACCAGCAACTTCATCCTCAAAGGAGACGACAAACTATGCCAGGTTGTGTCGTCTCCTGGTTGATATTGGAACCCAGGCTCTTCGAGACACGTTAGATACCATCCATTCTCCAGCAAATCTACCCTCAGTTTTGGCGGCAAAGAAGCCCACCTTACAATCTCTTAGAAAGAAGAAGATTATCAATCCAATACAATGGGGAAAACTTTTCCCTCCCATCCCTACCTCAGTGTCTTCGCGTGACTTTGACACAACTTTGCTGATGGTTCTGTTACGGAACCTGTGCGGCTTAACTGCTCCGCTGACCGGCTGGAACGCTTTGCCTACCGTAACAGACCTCAGCAGGGAAGCGGACATTGCCCGAGTTAAGTATTTTAGGAACACCGTGTACGGTCACGCTGAGAAAGCTTCTGTTGATGACGTCAAATTCAATGAATACTGGCGTGACATCCGGGACACTCTGGTCAGACTGGGAGGTGTTCCTTATCAAGCTGCCATTGATAAACTTAGAAACGAGAGCATGGACCCTGTAGTTGAAAATCACTACGTGGGACTCCTGAGTGAGTGGAAAAAGGACGAAAATAATATTAAAGAAGAGCTGGGCAAGATGAAGAAAATGCAGAAGAAGATCGTGCATGGGCAGGAGGAATTGTTACATGCGCATAAGAAAATATTACATACTTTGACATCATCGAAAGAAGTTGTTGACCAGGGTAAGACCTGTCACAAGTACATATTCGACACGTAATATTTGACTTCGTTCATATATCACTTAGTTCCCCCAATTCAATCTATTTTGTTGTTCCACTTCACCGCTCCCATCAAAATATTAGTGAGAAAGTGATCTTACGTCTTGTTCATTTACTTAGCAATGAATGAGATAAATTTATAATGCGTCTTACATTCTATTAAGCCACTCAGTACGTAGTAAATATTGATCAAATAAGAGTTGACCGTTCGCCCAGGTAACGTAAAAGCCGTTCTGTTCCAGATTAAACGGACGTACTACGTTCCCCCTCCCTCCCCCCTCCCCACAAAAAATAAAAATTCCTCATCCCCGCCTTTGCCTTTTACATCGGCAATGTGATCATCGTCACTCTCCTTTACCTTGTTCTTTCTCTAAAAGCTGCTGTTAATTCACCCCACTCTGGACTGTCAAAATGTTCTGCTTGCTGATTTTACGGGAATGTGTTGTGCTCGGAGCCTCCTCTCTTGATTGTGCCGTTATCAAGACTCATTGTCGGGCCACGACAGTGTTAGAAATTTTTTAGACAAGAGGTGAGGTTGTGAAATAATTTACTTGTTTTATTGTTTTTCATTTTAGGCACAGTTACGGCGCAACATGAAGTTCCTCTTAAAGTCGTCCCAAGAGATCTTAGCGCTGAAAAACTGGAGAAATTCAACCGGTATTTTAGGGAGAACATTTTAACGTGCATGGACAACGAACTTTCTCCAACTGGAGGAATAGGTGAATTCCTTAAGTATATAGAAGACATTTACAAACTGCGCACAAAGGCATTAGGTTTTGGCTGCATAGAAATACGAGTGCAATGCCACAATCTGGAGAGCCTGGAAAGACTGTGGAAAGACTGCAACCATGGCGACCTCAACAGAATGGCTGAAAGATACCTGGTAACGACTGAACTTAAAGAGAAACTTGATCTGAAAGCTTTAAGATTAAGCATTAAGGTTAATGAAGAGGACTACTTGGCATGCAAGGAGTCTTTCCCGGAGGTTGTGAAGCCACCAGAAGAAGAGTCTGTCTCAGGTATTTATATGAATTATTTGTCATATCTTTGCGAAGGTATTGAGAGTACCACTTACTTTTAAAATTTTTAATTTTCAAAGTTTTCTAATTGTGGTTTGTATTTACTGTAAATCTCGGCTTCTAATTTTATAGGGTAATTTAGTATTATCAATTTAGTTGATAACGTAAATTTGCCTCCGTAAAGAGTTTAAAAGCTGACGTTTCGAGCGTTAGCCCTTCGTCAGAGCTAATGTGTGTGGGTTTATATGCAGAAAATGGAGCTACGCTATCGGTGGGAATGTGGTGACGACAAAACAAGATTAAATTAGTTGAATGAAAAGGGCCCGGTGATACCGTGGGGATTAAGAGTGCCAATTTGAATAATAAATTTTTGTTCTAGAGTTTTGCGGCTTTCCGAACTGCCTAGATGTAGGAAAAGGCCGCAAACTGCCATATGCTGTTTAGAATGATTAGGGAGATTAAAGTGTCTAGCGACTGGTTTGGATGCGTCCTTGCCATTTCTTTCTACGTCGTGAAGGTATTCTCGGAATCGGTAACCTAGTCGTCTTCCTGTTTCACCAATGTTTAACTTTCTGCATTAATTGCAAGTTATGCAATAAATGACATTGGTGGAAGTGCACGTAAAGTGATCAGTGATCAAAATGGATCTCTTGGGTCCCGACATTTTCTCTATGTTATGAATGAAAGGACCCAAGTTTTGCATCGTGAGCGAGCGGCGTATTTGAAAGTTCCCGGTTGGTCGTTGGTTTGAAATGAACTTCTGACCAACTTCTGCGCTAGCTCACGATGCAAAACTTGTCCTTTCATTCATAACATAGGTTACAGCGGCCAATTAACGTTATCAGCTCAGTTGATAATACTAAACTACCCTGTTATACTCTTCCACCGACGCAGCACCACAGTTTTTTTAGAAACTTACCCCTTTTATTCTAATTTATAGCCATCCATAAATTTCTGCTTATGTCATAGCACAGAGATTATCAAAAGGGACAAATTTAGAGAGCGTCCGACCCGACAGAGCACAGGCAGCCCAAGCTCCAGCCGTGAGATGATCATCTTGCGAAATAAGAGTCACGGCGAAAATGTAGGAGTTTGTATGGGAATATGACCGCTCTTAGGAAGTAAAACTATAGTAAATTCTCAATAAATACCTCACCTTACTTTCACAGTGCATTGCTTGTTTTGTGACCGCTTACTATATTGAAAAGAAGCCATTTAAACGAGTTATCCATTTCTAAGTTTACTACTCCTAAAAGAACGACGAGGCCGCTGCACGCTCCATTTCCTAACGGCCGATCTGAGAGTCAAAAACTCCAAGCTCAAAATGGCCGGACGGCCACAAATACAATGCAGAATCCAAGCACATTTACTGCAGTATCATTTCAATTCACTACCAACTAAATCCTCCCCGTGAAAGCGACGCTAAGCCGCAGTTCGCTTCCAAATTGCCTGTTGAGACGTTTCTTACGACCAGCGTACACATTTTCCACGACACACGACCGTTGAAAACCAGCTTGGTTTCCCGGCTTCCTTTTACAAACTGAGTGGTTCAAGGACAATTGCGAAATAAGAGTCATGGTGAAGATGTAAGAGTTTGTATGGAAATATTTACGACCACTCTTAGGAAGTAAAACCAACTTGGTAACCCTGCTTCCTTTGCAAACTGAGCCTCGCTGGGGACCACACCGTCTTTTGGAATGAACAAATTGTTCTTGAATCACTCAGGCAATTTGGAAGCAAACTGCAGCTTAGCATCGGTTTCAGGGGGAGGATTGAGTTGGTAG